TCGTCCAGAATGAGTCTTGGAGCATGCAGTGAGTAATTAAGATGAATAATGTCTTCGGGAAGACACAATACAAAGTCAAGATATGGAGAAATAGTTCTGATGTTTTGTTTTTCACTCACGACTCAAACTTGTTTCAGAGGCAGTTTCAAATAGAAATAGTCGTATCTGTGCCATTCAGTTCCATGTTACTTGGAGGTGGTTACTTCACAGGGTAATACTGGATGGCGTAAATTTTCACATTTTTTAAAAACTGTCATAAAATTTGTATTCAGTGAAATACGCTCATTTTAGGTATAGAACTCAATGAGTTTTGTCAAATGAATGAACCCATGTACCTGCCACTGTAATCAAGATGTGGAATGTGTTCCTCACCCCAGAAAATTCCCTGGTGCCTCCTTCTGCCCAATTCCCACCCTCAACATACAACCACTGTTCTGGTTTAGAGCACCATGAATTTGTTTTACCTGTTAGTTAACTTTATGTCGGTGGAATTATATGTGTCTACTGTGTTTGAATTCTTTCATTCATCATAATGGTCATAGAGTAAAATCCACCCTATCTAGTGTGCAATTCTGCAGGCTTTGACAAATGCATACCATCGTGGAACACAACCCCAGTCAAGATCAAGAGCCGTTCTGTTGGCCTCCCAAATTCTCCCAGGTGCCTTGGTAGTCAACCCCATGGCCTCTCTGCACTCTGCAACTATGGATCTGTTTCTCTACCTGCCATTTTGCCTGTGCCCAGTATTTATCTCCGCAGGGTTTTTTTTTTTTTTTTATTGTTAATTTTGTCAACTATAAGTGTAAATAAGTTTAAAAGTCAAAACCATTCCTACGAGGTTTATAATGAAAAAATAACAGCCCTTTCCTGGCTCCTCCTGATTTCTGAGGAGTTTCAACTCTTTCAGAAATCCTTCGACTCTTTTAGCCAATTTTTGTGGTATAGACCTCTTTTTTTCCAAACAACTGTGCTTTTAAACTTGATATTTTTTGTTTACAATTTTGTTTGTCTACTTTTTACTATGGAAGATGAGTAGTTTTCCTATACTCTCCACCAACTATCCAAACACCCACTTGTCTCTAATATAGATAACTGAATATAGATATAATTTCTTTGGATTTTTTTAAACAGTTACTATTTAGATTATTATGCCTGTGTCATATAAACAGCTGAGGTTGTGGGATGTTCCTTGATTTTTTTTTTTTGAGCTTATTCCTTTTTTTCTTGGTTCTCTTTGGACCTACCTCCTCTGTTTCATACTCAAGGTTTCTGACCAAAGTGTTTACCTCCTTTGAATATGTTCAAACAAGATAATTTCTCAGTTCCCTTTCTTCTTGGATTCATTCCTCATGGAACCCTCTCTCCTCCTGCCCCATATTGGACTGGTAGCTCTTTGGGCCAGTGTATAGCTCTCTTTCCGAGCTCTCCCTCTGTCATCTGTCTCCTTGTCAGAAAAAAAAGGAATTAACCAGATATTTCAACAGAGCTAGGGTTGACATGCATTTGTATGTGTAGACATTAGCACTCTGTTAATTTTGACCCATCTGTGTCTATGAGAAGTCACGCATTCACACAGATACCCTCAATTCCAATCCAGCAGCACACGGTTCAATCAAGCTTTTTCCCTTCTTGTGCTTTGTAACTTTGTTCTGTGACTATAAGAAACCCGACTTCCCATAGTCTTAATATATTGACTCATTCGATCGATTCCTGGTATATAACCAATCTCCCGTCTTCATTAGCACACCACATCCCCTAAGTATTGAGCAACTTTAGTGGGTTCACATTAGATCCTGCAATGTCCTGCATCCTTTCATTGCTCCCCGTTTCCATAGCACCCATCGGTCTCCTCCCTGGTGTGTTCCTCTTTCTACTACGTCTCACCTCCCACGATCCATGCTCGTACAGCAGCCAGGTGCTCTTTAAAAGCATAAGGCGTGATGACATTTGAAGCCCTCCCGTGCATCCTGTTGTACTTAGAATAAACCTCAGGTCCCTCTGTGGTATGTATTAATAATACCTATATGTGTGGCGATTAATCCTGCCTGCACATCAGCATCACCAGGGGAACTTTTGAAAAACACTAAGCCTGCGTCCCACCCAAGTCTCCAATTAAATCAGAGTATTTGGGGGTGCAGCCCAGGCATCGGTGTTTTTAAAAGTTCCCTGGTGGGTCTTGTGGGTGCTCCCTGTTGGGAACCGTGCCTCTCCCCAACTGCCTTCCTATTGCCTCCTGCCCCGCCCCTCTCTGCACTGAGCTCTGGCAATTACATTTTCCTTGTCTTTGAACTTGAAGCTGACCCTCTTCTCGCTGTTTCCTCACTCAATTTGTTTCTGGCTGTACGTTTCTTTCCCCAGATCTTTTCATGGTGGTTCCTGTTAGCGTCTCAGAGTGATCTTTCCTTGATCATCTTATCTGAAATCGTGTCCCATGTTATGTTCCTTGAGCACTTCTTCATACTGTCCTCATCTCAGACCATCTTATTTATGTGGTTATTATTGTTGTTTTTTCTATCAGAGTATAATCTTCATGATGACTCTTGCTTTCTCCTATACCGTGGTGCTTAGATTAGATTAGTGCTTAATAGATTACTTGTTGGGTGTCTGCGTGTAGCAGGGAGAAGAGCCAGGTGAGAGATCTGTTAGCGAGAAAGTGAGCATTTGCTGGAGAGACACTCGGGTAGGTGAAGTGAACTGAAATAGGAGTCTTGACTGATGGAGATTATCCGAGAAGCCAGACAAAGTAAGTAACTGTGACGATGGAATTAGGAACTCTCTGATGTTTCCAAATTGTAGAGGGCAGGTTTTTGTCTGGATTGGGATAGTCCCAGGAAAACAGAAATGACCTGTTATCCTACTGGAAGAACAGCCCTTAGCATATAGGGTAACATTATGTGTTCATGGTGGTTGCTGTGAACTTACTTTTCGACACTGTCATTTCAGCTCAGTGTAGGGCAGAGTGGCCCTCTGGACTCACCCCCTCATTCCCTTCAGTTTAATAACGTAATAACTAGAGAAAGCCTCTGAGATTCCGACAACCAGTTTCACACTCTACCCATTGAAGACAGATGCTTGGTGATACCCCCTCGCTGTCTCTCTGCTTGAAGATGCAGAGCCTCATAGCATGCCATGTTTAATTCTGTTTGTCTTACTTTGGATATTTGGGATTAATTGGAAAATTGTGTTCTTGCTTATATGACAGCCCACATTTGCAACGTGGACATGAGCAAACATACTCGGGAACTCTTACTATATCCCATATGGTTATTAGCCGTGGAATTTATGGAGTCCTGGTAGTATATGATTAAAAACCCCAGAGATAGACAGTGTTCTCCTACTCCCTGACGCCAAGGAAAATGAGCATTCGCTTTCACAAATTCAGCATGGTAATTTTGTGCCTTTAGGTAGGGGTTATACACACACCACAAATTCTAGAGCAAACTTAGGAGGTTAAAAAAAACCCTTTCAACAATGACCGGTTTTGGAAGCATAGTTCTGTGATGAATGGCTGTGCAAAAACACTGTTTACAAAAGTACAGGTAAATTCTTCTCTGAAAGTGGAATGAACTCTGTATTATGACAGCTTGGCTTTTTATAGGGCATAGAAAGATGAAAACTGCTTGGAAGAGATGAAATTATTATTTCTCAGCTTGTTGCCCCAGCTCTCCGACCTTGCCCCGGGATGACATCGAAGCCGTTCATTTATGCAAAAGCCATTTTCATGTTTTCACAGAACCAAGCAAGTGTGTGCAGATGGGTTCAGACTCTTGAGACCTGGGGAGAGATGCTTACCTTGGGGGTGTTCTTACCTCTGTGTCACTTACACGTGGGCTTCCTAAATGGAGGGCAGTGTTTCCTGTTCAGATATCTTTTTCTCAGCCATGTGTCTTGATGCAACCAGACTTGCACAGCCTGGTATACCACTCCTGCCTGCAAAACACAGCAAAATCCTTTAAATTTGTGAATGCCACTGACAGTTTAAACTTTGTGGAAAGATTATTGAATCTGTGCCCAAAGAAGGTAAACTCAATTTTCTACTTATAACATATACAGAATAGATTATGTGTCTTTTTTCTGGGAGATTTCATATAGAGCAAATTATAAGAGAGTTCTAGAGCCCTGTTGGCAGGTGCCTGAACTTTTAAGTGCAGTTTGCATCTGCTCGCTTCATGTGATGCTTTATGTGCGTCTCCTAATTACGGCAGGGTTCAGTTAGGCAGGGTGACCACATTAACGCCTTAGTGGATAGGCATGGGGAGAGGGAACTTACTGCTGTGCACTATCTATAGTATAACGTACCCAGTAAGTATTTAATATAAAACATGTGTTCACAGATTGAATTGTATACTCCCTCTGTAAGGTAAAGCCTTTGACCTAAAACCTTAGCAAACAAACCCATAGCATCTTTTTATTTGGGCGGCGTGCTGATACTATTACCAAGAATTGGACAGAATGTTATTTTATTGTTTGTTTGGATTTTTTTTAAGGTGTAAATATTTGTATATATAAGATTTGCCATTCCAGTTTAAAATTGTTCCAGCATAGTGGTTCTTAACCTGCAAACTCAGAAGAGTTAGAGCAAATAGACATTATTTTAAAATGTCTATTTTGATAGTATAAGGTGACTTACAGAATGTATGTATACAATGAAAGTCAGTATTCATTCATGCAAAACCATTTATTGAGAGGAGATTTTCATGTAAGGTGTTGAGTTGATAAGAGGTTGGGGTGATTTCCATCTTGGTGGTTTTTCTTTTTGCATGATCCTTGATAAGGTTAGATTCTAAGCGAATTTTAAATCCTATTAAGGAATAGAGTTCTAAAATAAATCCGGTTTTTATTGTGTAATAAACTAAAATGTTCATATTCTAAGATATCTTCTGCTAATTGTCTCTTGGGTTCTGTCCCAGGATTGCTAACAGAACATGAGAATGTATATATATTGCTAATGTATTACCCAGAAAACATAAAAGATTTTGTGTTCTTTTATCCCCTGACAGGTTGGTACAGAGGATATACCCTCCAAAATAAATCTAAAAAGGTATGACTTATCATTGAATTTTCTATTTCGTGTGAAATCTGTCTGCAGGTTTTGCGTTGGGTCATCTGATCCCCTTATCTGCCCACTGTTGTCTGTAGACCTAGTTTGCTTTGTGTTTTGATGGCTGCTGCTTTTGATTTGAAGGCAGATTCTCTGGCCTCAATGCTTAAGTGTGACAATGTAAGTCCCATAAACTGTATTCCCTACCAGCCAATTGAAGGAGAAAGTGCTGGAGGACTTCTTGCTCCAAGCAGGGTAGTAACACAGTGACACTGTTCTAGTGGGGTCTCTCTTTTAGGGAGGGCAGGACCTGTGCTTCTCCCTCTGTCCTTTACTTCCAATGCTAACATCCCAGAACAAAAGGGTCTCCCAGTTTCCACTCAGTTTTTTCTCCTCCTTTGTAAACTAGGTTTAACCAAAGTAGTGGTTTTCAAACTCTGAGCCTGACAACCCCACTATACATCATGAAATCAAGATAGTGGGTTATACCCAATATTTTCCACAAAATGAAACTGAAAAGTAGAGAAGAAAATAAGATGCAATGGCAAATATTGTTGCATAAAACTTTTGTTTCAGGTGAATCTTGTTATGTATTTTTAAATTATATTTTATGTGCTTTGTTAGGTTGCCATAAAAATATGTCTCTTGCTATTCCTCATTGCCAGAGTTTGAAAAATACTGACCTAGACAGTTCCCTTTTTCCCAAAACTGCTAATCATCTGGCTAAAGAAAATCTATTAATTATGTTAATACCTCCCACGGTTTCTTTTCGGTCTTGTCAGCAACTTTTTTTTTTTGGATAGTGCTCAATGGGGCAGGGTAACACGTCAGCACTTTCTTTTGAAAGAGCGACGTTGATAGGGCCTTATTATTTCCCAATTAGTTTGCACACCAAAGAGTGAATTAGATTAGGAAAGGGATGAGAGAAATGTTTTAGAATTTATCAAAAGGGAGTAAAGAAAAAAAGAAAACCCACAGTTTTTCTTCTTCACACACAGCATGAGATAGACATACTCCTACACAGGTGAGGTTCATGCTGGGCACCCAACTCTTAAAAGAGCAGAGCCCAGAGAAGCCCCTTTCTACTAGGTATGGGCCATCAGGAACCAGGACTGTTTTCTCTGTTGTTGACAAGCAGTTCACACTGGGTATTTGCACATGTATGTGTGCACACGCACATTTTGTTACCTTTGTGAACTTAATACAGCAAAATAAAGGAGCTTTGCATGCAAATATCAGGCAGGCGTGGTGGTTCACATGCCAGTAATCCTAGCACTCTGGGAAGCCAAGGTGGTAGGATTGCTTGAGCTCAGGAGTTCGAGAGCAGCCTGAGCAAGAGCGAGACCCCGTCTCTACTATAAACAGAAAGAAATTAGCCAAACAACTAAAACTAAAAAAAAAAAAAAAACTAAGCCAGGCATGGTGGCACATGCCTATAGTCCCAGCTACTCGGGAGGCTGAGGCAGTAGGATCGCTTGAGCCCAGGAGTGTGAGGTTGCTGTGAGCTAGGCTGACGCCATGGCACTTTAGCCTAGGTAACAGAGTGAGACTCTGTCTCAAAAAAAAAAATTTGAATGCAAATATTAGCTCCCACAATTTGGGTCCTTTTGTCTCTGCCCAAACCCTGATACTGAATTTTTCTACCCACAGTTAGATTCTTGAGCCACGTGTTTTCTTTTCCAAACTAATTAATTTCTTTTATTCTCTTACTGACTTCAATTTCTCTGGGCCGTCAAATAGAGACCTGAGAGGCAGACGTGCAGGAGTGAATGAGAACAGGGTAGGACTAAAGGGAAGACCTTCCTCTGGGGACCCTCAGTGACATACAGCACCTGGTATACTGCCACTCCGCATCTTTAATTTCCAATGATGGAACTGGTGGTTATTTCAAAGCATGATGACAGCTAATAGTTTTGATGCCCTGAATTTATTAAAGAGTAGGAATTCCCAATCCTTTTTTCTTTTAAAGAGAAAAGTTAACTTTTAAAAATAAACAAAAAAACCCCATTCTCAGACAAAACTCATATAACGAATTTAAGGAACAAACAACATTCTTGATTTTTTTTTAACTGGTCAATGTCAGTTATGTTGAAACAAGGCCCTATATCACAGGTCTTCCTTTTCATAGGGTCCATAGCAGGGGTCCTCAAACTTTTTAAACGGAGAGGGGGGCCAGTTCACTGTCCCTCAGACCGTTGGAGAGTGGGGCGCACATTCCACACATGCGCACTGTGGGCCTGGGACAAGTTGGCTGCTAAGCAGGACAGGCAGTGGCAGCAAAAACACCTAGCGGGCTGGATAAATGTCCTCGGCGGGCCGAATGTGGCCCGCAGGCCATAGTTTGAGGACGCCTGGTCTATAGTATAGAAGATCCTTTTGACCATAGAAGACCTTGGTTTCTAAGACATTCTGTGATTTCCTAACACTGTCATCCCTCTGTGTTCATGGGGGCTTGGTTCCAGGACCTCCTTTGGATACCAAAATCCACAGACACTCAAGTCCCTGATCTACAATGGTGTAGTATTTGCATATAACCTACACACATCCTTCTGTATACTTTAAAGCACCTCTCGATTACTTATTTTATTTTATTATTTTTTTTGAGACAGAGTCTCACTGTGTTGCCCAGGTTACAGTGAGTGCCGTGGCGTCAGCCTAGCTCACAGCAACCTCAACCTCCTGGGTCAGGCAACAGCAAGAACATTTTAGATCCAGCTGCTCCCAGCACTGGTGATGACAGCGTGGATCCTGTCACTGCTCGAGTCAGGGGCAAATGGCCATCCTTGCCCACCATGCAGAAGGATCCAAAAAGAAAAGTGCACAGCTTCTTTCTTCCTC